TAGTCGATGTTTTATTTGAGCATTTGATAACGTTATGAATGCAATACCGCAAAGGAAAATGACAAAACTCTGTGTAAGTATAAAAGTCAGTTTTGTAATGTTTGCATGTAGCGGTTAGGAAACGAAGCACAATCAAATCATCCAAATGATTGATGGTTACCTGCCAATGCGACTGCTTTTGAAAGAATGACAGTAACAATTTAGCAACATTTTACAAGCCGCAAACGTTCATTCACGAATCCGACAATGACCACACTTGTTGGAACAACAATACGGGCACAACGCCAGCTTCAAAGAAAACCAGAGGGGTTTTTAAGATTTTAAGTTTTTCTTCCATTTACTTTTATCAAAAGGCAGGAGGCAACATGAAAATTTATGCTCCACCAACTGTGAATAAACGATGCAGACAATTTGTTTTTTTCAATGCTATACGAGTGACTCAACCTACTCTTGTTTTGACAAGAAACTTTAGATCCTCTGGTGGGTGAACCAAAAGCATAGCATGCATTCGGTACCCATTTACTAACAGCTTAAATCTATTCAGTAATTATTTTAACTGCACTGCGTTTTTCACAACCGCATCGTTGTTGAAAGGCTACAGCGATGTAATGTCAGAATGATTTGCGGTAAAAGGCGAAAATGCAATTCAAAGATTCTCCAGAGTAAGGCAATGGTACATCACACTTCATTAGCAGGTGGGCGCTGAAATGTAAAAGTTTAAAGTGGAGACAAAACTGTCTGCAGCTGTTGGCTCTTCACAAATGTCAAATTGGCTTGCTGTTCTAATTTGACATTCACATAAAAGTGTTTGTACTGGCAGACTGTCAACTCCATCTTTTATTAATAATGAAGAATATCAAAATGAGTTTCTTTAAAAAAACAAAACGTTGGCATACTACTGGAGTCTGCTCATCCCCTTAACGTCAAGGTTGGAATCAGCAGAGAGGGAAATAAACAGCGTGCAAAAATGTGATACAAACAGAAGAGGAGGGAGGCGATAGGAAAAAGAAATCAGAGGGGAATAGCGAGGTGGAAAGATCCAATCTCTCTGGATTTATTAGGGCTTAATAAAGACAATTACGTCTACTTCAGGGATCAAGTCTGACCAATACTGACTAATTTACTGTTAGAGTATCACAACTTGGCAATTATTTCACTACGGTCATGTAAATGCTAAATATCAAAGGTTATCTCTACCCTGTCATAGTAATTCAATAAAACCTTCTGCTAGGGAAGAAAAGAGCTCTTAGAAAAGTGACCCCTGAGCTAACAATGGAAGCACAACTGCATTTGTACAAAAAACACATGCGCACAGACCCACGCACCGATCACACAACATCTGTGATAAATGTATGACACATAGCAGTCTCACAGTCTTTTTCATTACATTCTTCTCCGAAGAACTCGGAAACAAAGGCCCGAGATTAAACGGCTCTCATTCGCAATGACTCATTAGTCTCACTCACTCCTCACTCTCTTCATGATCAGTCTCTGCTCTGTGTCTCACTTATACAGGACAAGGTCATTTAGGAGTCTGTGGAGTGGGAGAAAGAACGATGAGAACGGGAGAGGAAGGACATTAGAGGAGTGAGGAACTATCCTTCGGGGATTTTCACTACAACAAAACCACTATTTACACCCTAATGACAACCATCTATTCTGTGGATCTATTTTCATTCAAATTCAGCCACTCCAGAGGGACAGAAACCAGAGGACTGGACAAAAACATGTATAGGTTCTGCATAAACACAGGTCTTACACATGAAGCACATTAAGGTTTCCTATTCCAAAATCACGCCCGTTGCTTGTGTGTGGTATATGATTGCATTTGACTTTCATCACCCTGCTGAGAGTGTGTGTGTGTGTGTGTGTTCATGTCTGTTTGTGTAGATTGGGTGTGCTTGTGTCTGCCTGTTTAGAAGAAAGACCCAGATCAGAAGAGAGATGAATGAACCAATGCATGCGAGCCAATCTCAACAGGTCTGTGGCTGAGCAAATTCTACATCCCATTTGTAAGAGAGACATACGGATAGAGACGAGTTATAAGGTGAGATATATGTACAACTGTGTGTATGTGTGTGCGTGTGTGTGCGTGTGTGCGAGAGAGAGGGAGAGAGAGAAAGAAAGTGAAAACCCTTAAGTCTCAATGCTGAAGGCAAACCATTCATCTTCCCTCTCATATGCTCTTCTGGGCTTCAATCCCAGTCCCAGTGTGTGTGTTTTTGTGTGTGTGTTTCCGCATCTTCCAAATATGGAGAGCAGTCTGAATGATGAACATGATCTCCATTGCAGCAGAACAATACTATTTCTAAATAGGACATGAGAGGCATTCAGTGTTCCCTCATACACTGTGTATGGGGGAACCAATGCTTGTTTGCAGGGGCTCAGGCGCACCATGTGCAATGAGGCATCTGCTGCAGGTGATAGCGAGTGTGTGTTTCTGTGCAGTTGCGTGCATCCATTAAGTGTCATTCCCAACGGCCTCCAAAGTTTTTGCTACATCAATCAGATGCTTATTCAGAGAATGCTGGGCGTCACTCTTACAGTCGGGCAGGTGGCACCGAGCAGCTGGGTGATGGCTGCCAGCCTGGCCCCTGGCATCACCTCTGCTCTGAGACCGCCCAGGCTTGCTCTCATACACCTGCTAGCTACCTGCCTCTGGAGCTTTTCACACCTGGATATTTTTGCTTCTCACCAAACACAACATCCCCGCACCTGTTTAGTGGAAGCCTACTGTGCTACACCACCTGTTAATTAACTATGAACGGCAGCAGCCCTGCATTCTGTATCCTAATCCACAAAGACACAATTAATAAAGAGAAAAAAAAGTAGCTCACAAAGCTGTGTTTGCATGTATATGAGTGTGTGTATAACAATCATTTCTAGTCAGGGCCGCAGGTACTACTTTAAAAAGTAGTGACTTATTAAATTCAGAGTAGTCTTGCCTTCATGATCTGATACAGTAATGTGAGATTAAAAGGTCACCTTTTTTCAATTCTAACATTTTACATATCAGGGCATAATAAAATGAATTATCTGTTCCTTCCCAGGTCTTACATTTTTTTTAAATGTAACCTCAGATGAAAAACAGCACATAACAAAATTGCATCATGTCATTATTTATGTCACAGAAATGAATCCAAAATGCAGAAGCCACATGTGGAAAAACTAAGTACACCCTTTACTTTTTCTTGTCTGTTGATTCCTGTGGAAACAGAAAGTACTGCTAACCAACTGCACCTCATTAACTGATAATCAGCAAGTGTGATCCTCTCCATAAAAACAGAGGCTTTGGCAGTTTTCTGGTCTGGAGTATTCAGATGTATGTTAACACAACACAAAAAGAAGGAATGACATCAGTAATGACCTTAGTGAAGCAATTTCATCACCACATCAATCTGTGAAGGGTAATAAGGCCATTTCCAAACAATGTGAAGTTCACAATTCTACAGCGAGAAAGATAATTCACAACTGGAAAACTTTCAAGACAGCTGCCAGTCTTCCCAGGAGTGGACGTCCCAGCAAATTTATTCCCAGGTCAGACATGCAATGTTCACAGAAACTGCAAAAACCCAAGAGCTACATCTCAGACTAAACATGCCTCGGTGAGCATATTAAATATTAAAGTTCATGAGAGTACAATTAGAAAAAGACTGAATGAGTATGGCTTGTTTGGAAGTGTTGTCAGGAAAAGGCTCTTATCTCTAAAAGAGCATGGCAGCATGGTTTAGATTGGAAAAGCTGCGTCTGAATGGACTCAGGAACAATGTCCTTTGAACTGAGGTAGTGATCTCTTGCCATAATCCACAGCACCACTTTTTATTAAACCTGAAGCGTACCAGCACAAATGCCTACTGTCAAGCACTGTGGTGGAGAAGGAAAGATCTGGGCTTGTTTTACAGCCATATGACCCAGGCACCTTAGAGTCAGAGTAAACCATAAACTTCTCTTTATATCAAATTATTCTAAAGTCAAGTGTGAGGAAATCTGTCTGGCGGCTCAAATTTGGCAGCAAGACAATGAACACAAGCACACCAGCAAATCTATAACAAAATGGCTAAAAAATAAAAAAAAATTTTTTAAAATAAAACACCAAAAATCAATGTGTTGTAGTGGCCAAAGTCCAGATCTCAACCCTGTGATGTTACATTTGTTTAAAAAATGGATGGGATGTACTTAACTTTTCACACACTTCTTCTGCATTCTAGCTTAGTTTTTGTTTAAAAAACAAAAAATAAAACTTCAACATATTACAGCTATTAAGTGTACATAAATCATGGACCAGTCACCATACTGGGACACATTGAGGTCATACACTGTTTTTTGTGGATTCCTGTTTTTAAATCTCAAGTTGAGCATTTGAAAACAGACAGGTGGCAGATCTGATCCAAACACTCCGGAACAACAGAATTTTAGCAACAATCAGTCACTAGATAGCCATTCTTTATGCCATACCCAGCTTTACCACATTTTACTTTAAATAGGACCAGAACACATATTATGGTGTATTGGATAAAACTCAAAACTACCAGCTAAGATCAGAAACTCACTAAGTAAATGCCTACTGAGGTATTAAATCAAACCCAAAGGAGAAAAAAACATCCTACACTGTCTGACTTCTTTTTATAACCAGAGAAGTCACCCACTGCTGATGATTAGAGAGAAAGCAGACTGAAAGCACCTCCGCAACGGTCTTACTTTTCAGAACCTCGGGCTATGTCTATTTTTCATATACAGTCTGTGGTTACTTGGCTGCCAGTACTGTGCATGCTGAATCACTTCCATTGTGCTTTTTTGACTTTATTGTCAAAATGCTGCTATGATGAGGGATTTCTCTTGTGATGCGAAACTACTTTCATGTCACAGGAGAAAAAGATTTTTTCTCTCCTTGCAGAGTAATCAGTGAATTAACCAAATTACCCTTTCAGTTACTCATCAGCTAAATGACGAGTAAACAGTAATATCTTGAAAGTTGTTCCTGACTTCGATGCTGCACTAACCTTTCCTCTTGGAGTCCCGTCTTACGCTGCTGGGCCTGACCGCTGGTTGTAGCTCTGTCTCTGTTGACATCCTCAGGCTCCAACTGGTTTAGACTCCGCTCCGCTTGGCTCGGCTGGGATCGGCTGGGCTCCGAGGGTCCAGTTCACAGCGTCAGTGCCGGCTGTGCGTGCGTGGCCGCCGGGTGTGTGCGTGGAGGCGCCAGGTGTGTGTGTGGGCACACAGGCTCATGGGAGAGGGATGGGCTTTAGCCCTGACACAACATCCTACACACACCCACAGAGAGCTGGAGGAGAAAAGACAGGGAGAAAAGAGGTTGACGTCGGTGAGGTTGCGCTTACTCTTGGCAGGTGAGACCTAGAAAGAGTTCTCAGCAGGCATTAGAATGACTTCGTCTCTGATCTGCTTTGAGAAGATGTTGCCAATGGTAACAGACTAGAGAGACCTGCACTACACTTTCTGCTTTCTATCAATAATGTGCCTCAGCAAGAAATTTTCTTGAGAAAATGTTCTTCCTCTTGAAGCCAGGTAACTATGAGTCAGATTTAAAAGTACTAATAATGCATTCAAACGTTTACACATGACATAATCTGTTAGATCATTATTATGTTGGTTTTATCTTCTTATACTCCCCAAATGTTTGGCTATGACATGGGAAGTCACTAACCTAATGTCAGACAGGGTAAGAAACACAAGTGTTTTCAACAAGCAGGTGGAACCAGCAAAGTAGTATCGACAGAATATCTAAACCGCTTTATTTGCAGGTAAAGCCAAGCATGAGTTCACCTCCAACATGTTGCAACAATCTCTTATTGCACAGGAAAACTCTGTGTGCACAAACTAAAGGTTTCAGGAAGAAAAATTGTTAGACCCGGTGCCTGTGATAGCAACATCTACCTGCCATACCACATGCCGCAAAGATAGAGCAGTAGAGCAGCATTGGCGCTGCTCTCGCTACTTCTATGACAATGACACAATGCTGCTGGTGAGAGGAAAGAAAAAGACTCACTGGGGATTTTATTTCTCACTTTGAGTCTGAACCAAAAGTAACAGGAAATAACAGCAGGGGAACACGGTTAACCTTGTTTACAGCTATGAACGATTTAATGACCATAAGCGGACCCATGCTTGCTGAACAACAAAAGATAAAACAATTATAACTCACAACATTTGCTTTACTTCTTCATAGTTCTGCTAAAGCTTCCAAAGTGTTTTTATTAGCTTGAAATTAATATGCTCGGGTTGAAACATTGCTACAGCACCGTACAGTAATTCAGAGCTGAACCAGGAAGTCGAAACAGTGATAGAGAATTATGACAGACAATTTGCTCACTTTATCTTTTCTAACAGGTCAATTTTTTTTTAATATTTATGCATTTTGTATCCTGACAGCAATTATCTGATATCTTAGCAATTAACTTGAGGGTTCCGGTGTTGTTATTACGAGCACGAACAGAAGCTTAAACTAACAAGACCAAGGTTGTATTAATTTCTTTTTAATGCTAATTCCAGCTGCCCTTCTTAGGACTGACAGGCCCCTCTGGCCCCAGCATTTTGTATTTTTCCTGCCCATCTGCTGCTACTTATTCCTAAGTGTTGACTGGCAGTGACTACCATAACTTAGCAGCCAAAAACACTCAGATTCACACTTTAATGCTGTTGTGTGAATGCATGAAAGCACGCTCATTTACATGTGCACACAAATCCAGAATAGCTTTTTTTCTTACTTGGAAATGGTAAAGCACAAAGACGGGCAGCTGCAAGCTGACATGCTACATAATGAATCTGACTACCTTCTGAGCTGCTCTTCCAATCTTCTTAGAATATAAGTCTTGACCTCTCTTTCCTTCTCCGTCTCCATCTAACAGTGGCCGAGTGCCGATTTAAACAAAACCAAAAGACTTGTGCTTCTTGGGGAAGAGGGAAATCTCTCTTATTCTATTCCTCCCCCTCTCCACGGTGTTTTTGTGTGAATAGGAGGCCCCTGTAAGCCTTGGGCGAGAACAGATGAATTGAGAGGCTTTTAATTTGCTGCAGACAGAACAGAACAGAGTCCATTTAATTCTGCCAGCAGAGGCCATGTCGGCAAAATGCTGACAATATTCTTTATCTGGTCCAAACACACTGGAAAAGTGTGAGTCACTCCAATTACAGGCATTATCAGCAGCACTGTTCCACCAAATGGATGGAGAGAGAGTGAGTATGAAGAGAGAAGGGTTAGAGGGAAGAGAAACGAACAGAGTGGAAAGAAAGTGAGGGGTGAGGGAACATAGAGCGGGTGAGAAAGACAATGAGCGAGGGGTAAAAGGGGAGAGAAAAAAGCCCAAGGAAGTAAAATCAGAAAAGAAAGGATGGGGTCTGAGCAGCTTCAGCTTCAACCCTGAACATGTCCCCTGTCCGTCTCTTCTCCTTTCTTTTTTTGTTCTCTGAATTTGTTCTCCTCCTTCTAGCTGTGAAGTCTTTCATGAAGCATCTGGAGCTTGTGTTTAAAAAAAAAAGAAGAAGAAGCTGTCTGTTAATCCTCAAACTGGACCAGAGACAGCAGTCCAACAATTCTCACCGCACACGCACAATCTACAACCAAACGCACACACAAATAAGACCTCGTAGACAAGTTTCTGTAGTGCAACTTTGATTTCACAAACAAATTTAGACCAACTTTAAACTGTGAAATGGGTTCACAGTTTACATCCTGTCTGCAAAATTACTCCTGTAAGAGAACAACTCACTTATTTAAAGATGTTCTACCCATCCAAGCATTACAAGCAAAACAGCCACTACTTCACTGGTGAAAATGAGCAAGAAACAAGATTGTGAGACTGAAAATGAAAAATCTGCTGCAGCACAGCTCTCCAGACATATGGTTGTTTCTCTAGAGACTCGGCGAAGACTTCTACATCTTAAGCTACCGTCCCTGGAGAGGAGAACAAGCTAATTTCTCAAAATGCAGTCCATGTCTAGCTTCAGCTGTACAAATTCCCTGCCTTGAACGCACGCGCAGATAAAGTGAAGGAAAGAGCGGCACCATCAAAAGCCATCGTGAACGCTGTAGTGGTGGTTTGACCTGGAATCAGCGCGCGAGCTAAATGTAGCAGCAGAGCAGGATGTGAACATGGCTTAGTGTGTCTGGATTTAGACAGCAATCTGAAGCCACGCCAGAGGAGAGGCATAGCGGAGGCAAGGAGGAGAAGGGAATGAGCAGTAAATTGGACGTCCGTAAATGGGGCGCTGCCAACAGGCGCTAGCGGGAGATGTGACGATCTGCATGTGTGTGTGCGCGCTTCACTGTACTGTATGTGTGTATGACTTCATAAACAGGATGCTGCCAACAGGAGCTTAATGCCCAGAAATCATCTGCAGCTACAGGAAAGTATGCCAAGTGAGTGGAAAGAAAAAAAGAAAGGAAGAGAGAGAGAAAGGGCGTGCTCTCTCTATCCACCTCGCCTTTCTCCCACCTCTCACTCTTACAGGGTAATTGTGTTCCGTCCGTCAGGCTCAGAGTTAGATTGCTGGCTCCACTCATTCGGCTCTCCTGCCATCTCAATAATGAATAATCATAAAGACCCCCTCTACACTACTCGCACACGCTGTTCTCAATACTTGTGCTCCGTCCAGCCTACGCGCACGCTCACACTTTACCAGTGCTACCTTTGTGTCCTGACACCATTGCACCGAGTCCTTATCAGCAGCACGCTTCTCCTCTGAGGTGTATTCGTTGATGAATAACAATGTTGGTACAAAAGGTCAATCCAAGTTACATTCTGCTAGGTTTCAGATGTTTTTTATGTTTTATATGGTTTTTTAACCATATAAAACAAACAAAATCACATGTAGTTATAAAGACACAAACGGCTACATACACCCTTTTAAATGTCAACTGACAGAGCACACCATCAAGCCGAAGAGAGAAATAAATGTCAATAAATTTCTGTTCTGTCCAGAAAAAGAATAAAACTTAAGGATATAAAACCTACCACTTCATGAGCCTTAGCAGATAAAAATATATAGTGTCCGCTCAACTTCGGTAGTCCAAAAAGCTCAGGAAGACGAGGTGAGGAACAAAACAGAGGAGCAGAAATGAAGGAAATGAAGAGAAGGAAGGGTAAAAGATCAACTAATAGAGGTTAGAAGAGAAGGCGTGCCTATTGGTGTATGATATAAAAGGTTGTTTGCACTTCTGTAAAAAGACTGGGAGAGTGTGGGATTTAAAAAAAAAGAGCAAAAAACATGAGGTCTGGACTAAAGTCCAATGCTATGCAAAGATGCTGCACTTTGTCCAGCATATAACAATAAAAGAAGTGTACTTTCCAGAATCTAATCTCCTTTTTGATGAGGGATTTGTGCAGACAGATATAAAGCAATGATGAAAAGAAATGCAATTTCCTGATAAATTTTGCATCAGGGTAACTTCATAGATGATAATCAATAAATCATTAAATGCTTTGGACATGTAAAAGTTCATTTGGCAATGCAGACGTAATGCCAGTGAAGTGGTTGCAGGGATAGTTGCAGAGGCATACTGCATTGTGAAATCATCTGTGAACTCATCAGTGATCCAATTCTTATCATTAAACAACTTTGGCACTAGGATGTTTTATCAGCATGATGAGATTTTTATTGATCTAAAACAAGACTGTAACCTTTAGCTGATTAATCAGTAAAAGCGTTTGCCGTTTTTGTACTTAGTTTTTAAAGCGTTATCCAGTGATGGATTTTCACATCATTAAAATGTTCCTTTTATGTCTCATGTAGTAGAAACCAAAAATATTTTGGACTGTTGGTTTGGCAACATCACCACCTTGATACTTTGAACTATTGAAAATATGGTGAGGATATTCAATATTTTCTGCCATTTTATAGGCCAACCAGAAATTCATAAATATGATGGAAATACTCTTGAGCGACAGCCTCGATCCAAAATTACCCCAATATCATCAAAAGATGTAGATTTTTAATTGCTTTTTTAAAAAAATTAAAGCTCACTCTAGCTACTTGTGCAGCCACATATTGCACTTGTTAGCATTATCCATCTCAGGTAGAAGACATTAGATCTTAGCAGTAGAATGGCATCATGGGTCAACGCAGTTATCACACGTTGAGAAGCAACTGTCAAAATGCATGTGATCACAGCTCACCATGCCATAACGAAGCTAAAGTATTATATAGCAGCTGCGTGGTAAAAGGGCATTTTTGACATTGATCTAAATAGCCAGTCCACCCACGCTGCACATTAGCCTAGCTGAATTTCTGAGAATTCCTTTTGGGGCTGGGGGCAGAAAAAGGAAA